GTCAAGTCCCCGCGGCGCCCCGCGCCGGCCGCTCTCGGGTTCCCGCCTTCTGTGCTCTAGCCTGGAAAGCAAGGTAGGCAGCCCCAAGGCCTGCGCCTCTGAGGAGGCCTTTTGGCCTCGCTGTTTTACTTGAAATGATCCAGTTTCTGTCAGATTTAGTTTTGCTAGCAAGTGTAGCCTCTTGTTTCCCCAGCTAGCTCATATCTTGTAGAATGTAGACCCCCCCCCCTCCCGCCCCGGCCGTCCTTGGAGTATGTACCTCAGGACTCCACAGGTTTTCCTACTCATCCTGTGCTTGCTTGGAGCTATTCGTGCCTTAAATAAGCATGTTACAGTGAAAGGAACACCTTAACACATTTAGACACCTCTGCTATAATGGGCTCACATTACTTTATGGAGAGCTATGCTGTGGGAGGAATTCTGTTGTAACTAACCGTGGAAATAATTACTAAGTGTGGCCATAGGAAGTTACTAAACCATGAGATTATGTTACGTGAACGTATTTTAAAGCCACTTTAAACTATAAATTATGAGTTGATCGAAAATCTAATCTTACATACTGTGATGCATTTTTATTATAAATATATAAAATAATTACTATAATTCACTCACCACCATAAAACATGTTTACAAATGTAAATAGTCTCTTAATAAATTATATTGTGGTAACTCTAATAAATCATATTAAGATAGTGACTGGATGGCTAATGCTTAACTTTGACCAGTAAATTTTATTTTATTTTCAAATAAACTTGGACTTTTTATGAAGGACTATTAACATGTTAATTACGACTAGCTATCATCATGTCAGAAACTCCTTGCATCTCAGGGGGGTACCACAGGTAGCCAGATGTATCTCTTGCAACCTGTACACTTTCCTGAAGATGACATTTCATGAATATGGCAATTAGGTATTCATTTCTTCTATGTAATTGTGCTATGTCCATCCATTGTTATGATGTCATTGGCCCTACTTTCTACTTTTTTTAAATTGTTTCCTACTAGTGATGATGAATTTGCACCAATTTATTCACTATTTTGGTCAAATTCCACAATGTTCAAGATTCTGCCAGCTGTCCCTGACTTGCTTGATTTAGAGTCCATGACCCTGATTAAAGAAAATTCAGCTGGCCCAACAGGGAAGTGAGGCTAATTGGTGAACATCCTAACCTACCACTAGTGATGCGTAAGCATTTGTATATTGGCTTATATAGGTGATCATACTGTTAGACACAGCTAAACTCAAGAGATGTTAAAAGTAAATCAAACTTGAATCCTACTTACACTGTTTTGTTGGATGATGAATATTTGGCATAAATATAATGTGTTGTTCCATCATATTCTTACAATTGTAACTAATATGAGTGAAAATTAGTACATTTATAAGATAAATTAATCATAGCATATTGACTTACATATTTATTACTATGGAATTATTGATAAATGATGAGAGTAATTTATACTTTCATCATAGTGAAAAAGAGTCATGTTTTTTTCCACTTGGCCAATAACATTTTCATAAAACTTTACTGGACTTTAATAAAAGCAGGCTAATCATGTTACATATAATAGGCCAAGGGCCAAAAATAACTTAATACACAAAAGAGGTAGAAATTTAAAAAAATCAGAAAGTACATTCAAATCTCTAGGACTGGAGCCCTGATTACTGATATTGTCATCAAATTCAAAAGCTCTTTGTGTATGTCTTGTATGATCTTTTGATGGTAAAGGTTAAAAATACATTCTGGCTTTCTTAAGGGTTAAAAAAAAAGCTAGAGAGGTTTACTGGAGAAGTACTAGGGTATCTCATGGAATTCAAGGTCTGAGATGCATTCCTGGAACTGACTGGAATCAGGAGGTAGAACACAGAGAGGAACTCAGGAAGTAATCTCTTGCCATTTCTTACTTCTTCTCTTTGCCAAATAGTTGAGTATTTCCAAGGCAGCTGGGTGGTGGCCAATAATAGAGTCACAAGTAGTATTTCTGTAGCTGTCAGGATGGCTTGCCACACTTCCTTAGATTTGCCCAATGAGGAGTAAACATGCCCAAATGGATTTAGACAGTTACTTACACAGACAGCAAAAGCAAGTCATTATGGTGTCAGTTCCCTGTATCCCTTGTTCCACAGACAACACTGAAGAGATCAGGTGATAGATGGTGTGATTGGTGGGTCAGTTTTGTTGAGGAGCCACCTCAGAACCTCAGCCTAGCAGTTCTGTAGACTTACGCTGAAGTCTGTAGCTTTCCCCTAAGTGAGAGTGAGGTGGAAAGTCTTGTGCTGAACTGAAACTAGGGAGATGGATGAGAAATGGCCTTGTGACAGCCTTCCACAAGATAATGGGGTAAACAGCCTCTCAGGTCCTCACCAGGCTGCTTATCTTCCCTTAGGATAGAAGAAATCACAGGGCATTCTGTCAAGACTCAGGTCAAACTGTGGTCAAGTCTTACCTATGTGGTCTATGTGGAGATTATTTTCCAAAGAAGCTAAACACATCATGAGATGGGCAATAGGTAGCTTTTATAATGACATATGTATCTTTTGTTGAAAGATGATTTGTAATGTTTGAATTTAAAAGACCAAATTGATTGATGCACTGATGGTTGGAACATACACATTTAAAGACTGGCCTGGAATTTGCTGCTGTAGCTATTATATATAGATATTGTTACTAACATCAACTTTATTTTATATGATGAAAGCTGAGCTCAAGACAAGTCAATATGTACTGGAGTTTTACAGAGCAGACTTCTAGTCTGTGTTCTCAGCTTCAAGTAATAGCATAAAATTTAGGTGAGCGAGTAGAAGCTGATGATGAGCGCTTCAGGAAGATTAGCAAGGCCTAACACTGCAGAGGGGGCAAGGATGAGACTGAGAAGAGACCATTAGATTAGACACTTGGTACTCAAAGTGTAGTCCACTAATGAACAGCGGGGAGGACCATGGTAGTACCTGCAGTAGGCTCTCAGGCTAAGCTTACTCCAGACCTATCATATCAGAATCTGCATGTTAGGAAGATCCCCAGGTCACTGGTTTGCACTTTCAAGTTTTTGAAGCAATGCATTAGAAGACCTTTGAGAAGAGATTCCACACAGTGGGAGCCAGATTGCAAAGGGTTGCAACTTAAATCTTTTTTTATTTCTATTGCTGATCAGAGAGAGAAAGGTGAATTCTGCACTCCTTAATCATATGCCCTCAGTTTAGCTTTCAGGCTTATTTTCCTGTCCTCTGCAACACATTTCTTTCAGTTTCTGCTCAATAGATCTGCTCACCACACTTAAATGTTGCCTATACCTTTCCGTCTTTATTCACAATACTTGGAATGTCTTCCCCTTATTTTCTCTACCTGTTAATCATACCCATTTTCTAAGGCCTAACTTGAAAACCATTTTCTGCATGAATATCTCCCAGGTGGCCTCTATAACCCCCTCCAATTTTAACATTCTCATTAACATTGAATGATGCAAATAATAAAAATAGCTAACATTTACTGAATGAAACCTAAACGCCTTACCCAGTTCTCAGCTTTACTTGTATCAACATTTTAAATCCTCGCCACAACTCCAGGATAAAGAAACTGATACACAGAGGGCCTAATTAACTGACTTGTGGTTGCACAAGCATGCAACTATTTCCATAGGAACAGGATAGGAGAGACACTAGGGATGTGCTATTCCCATTTTTAGAAGTTGGAGAGATCAAGTCTAATAAACTAGATAGTAGATAATATCCTCTATTATCTCTCTCTCTATTATCTCTCTCTCTCTATTAGTTTACATCCCTTAAAACAACTTTTATCTACAAATACAATCCTTACAGTCTTTCTGCTTAATAGTATCTTGCCTCTCCAAGTCATTTCATGTGTATGGGCACAAGATTAGCTTTCAGTGAGAAGAAAAGTCTCAGTCCATCCAGGGCCTCTGTGTACTGAAAAAGGGCACTGGCCACTGGGGCAAGTGGGAGCTGAAATCTAGCCCATGCTCCAGTTCATAATTTGTGTATCTTAGAGCAGAGATGAGTCTGCCGGGGGATGGGGGGGGTAAGAAGGAAACTTTTTTCTGTTCTTCACAAAGACACCAAATGGATTGGCAGCAAATCTGACAGCAACACTGACAGAATTCCCCAAACTTGCTAGAGCTCCCAAGGTTCCTGGGCCTTGGCATCCCCAGATCCCAGATCATTACGTTGCTTGCTCCCCAGCAGGGCTCCAGAAGATTTCCCTGTTATGCATATCTCTTCTTTGGAGCCAGGAGCATGGCTCCACCTCAGACCCTCCCATTCTCCCTAATGACCACTTTGGACCCTTCCATGTGTTTCCAAAACGCATGGGGTTCTTATTTCCCATGTCGTGTAGAAGCCAAATTTTAGGCCCACTCAGATGGATTTTCTTCCCAAGTTCTCAGAGGGCTCTTGCACCCAACTTCAGACTCTCCCAAGATCTCTGACGAAGTCCCTTTGGCCTCCTGAGAGACCCTGCTGTCGCTCAGGCCTGTTGAAACTTCCTCCTAAGGGCACGCCTGAGCCCTGTCCACACTGAATTCCCTCCACAGTGGCATCTGTAGGACCTTCCTCCTCCTGCCTCCCAGAATCTTACCCTCATATTTCTTGACGTCTGCATGTCCCACTCAGAATGCTTCTTAGGGCATTTCTTCTCCATATATCATTCATATGATCACCATGCTGACAGGACAACAATTTATTTCTCCAAATTTCTAGGCTGCTGTTTCCTCCTCGCCAGCCCCATCCTAGTCCCCTGTATCTTTTAGGTACACAC